GATTTTCCATTCTAAAACCAAAATGTGGAGAAGTGCATTAGAATCTGTATATAAATAGATTTGTTTAAAAAATGGTTTCCATCATAGAGGGTTCCTGGTTTTAGTTCCTGGGGGAACCAGGACCTTTCTGGGTGGAGTCTGCATGTTCTCATGTGTCTGTGTGGGTTCTCTCTGGTTCTCCTGCTTCCTCCTGCTGTCCAAAAACCTGCATGTGAGGTTAACTGGACCCTCCAAACTGCCTCTAGGAGTGACTGTGAGTCTGTGTGGTTGTGTGTCTCTGTGAGTCCCTCTGATGGACTGGGGACCTGTCCAGGGTGGACCCGCCTATGGCCCGTTTTCAGCTGGGATAGGCTCCTCCCCCCTGTGACCCCGATGAATAATCAGGATAGAAAATGGATGGATGGTTTCCATCAGAGAGTTTGTCAGTGATTGAACAACATGTTTGTGTTGCAGAGGTCAGAGCCACAGACAGAGAGCAGAGGATCCACAACCCGACTGTGTGTCTGTGAAGAGTGACCGGTCCATGGGTCGTCTTCCTCCAGACCTCAGAGATGGACCTGGACCCCCAGACACAAAGTAAGACAGGATTCAACATGTGGTTTCTATGGTTCCTCTTTAAAAGTCTCCCAGTGAGGTTCTGTTATCCTTCCATGAGGGTTTGTCCTGTGTCGTCCTCCCTGTAGTGTTCTCCTTGTTCCATATGAGGATCAGGGGGTTTTCACTATGAAATGTCCCCATGATGAATGAAGTTTCATGACATAAATGCTGAATGTAGAGCAGCAGCTGTGGGTTCAGCTGTGAAGTCTCCATAGAAAGCAGACATTGAATCAAAAGCAGGAAGGGCAGCAGGGAGGTTTCTGTTCCCATCAGGAGCAGAGACAGCAGCTCCTGCTCTGCTGGAACCATGTTAGTGATGGAGACATGTCTTCACAGAGGGAGGAAGAGGAGTGGTGTCTGGGAGGAGGAGCAGCTGTCCAGCTGTGCTTTGTGTCAGGACGTCCTGAAGGATCCAGTCTCTACCGGCTGTGGACACTGGTTCTGCAGGCAGTGCAGCAGCTCATACTGGGACCAGTCTGCCTCATCAGGGGACCCCCCCTGTCCCCAGTGTGGAAAAAGAACCAGAACTGTAGCAGGTCAGACAATTCTGGTACCACCTGAAGCATCATGGGAGCTTTGCCTGAAGGGCCTTAGCCCGAAATTTCAGAAATATGATAGATGATGATAGACAATAGGTTTATATTTCATTAATTTATATAATATCCTAAATATTCATTATTGTGTATATATATATATATACAAACCCTAATTTAAAAAAATGTAAACCTGCGGTAAAAAACAAACTGTGTTGTGTGTTGAGTGTGATTGTGATTGTTTTCTGTTTGGTCTCTGTGTTTTTTGTTCAGCAGATGCTGGCCTGCAGCAAGTCTTAGAGGAACATAAGCTGAGTCTGAGGAGCAGATGTGAACATGTGACAGAAGGGTTTGATGGAGCAGGCAGTGGAACCCTCCTCAACCGGGTCTACACTGAGCTCTACATCACACAGGGACAGAGTGCAGAGTTTCAAGCTCAACATGAGGTGAGGCAGCTGGAGACAGCCTCCAGGAGCCCCCAGGATGCTCCAATCAGGTGCCACGACATCTTTAAAGCCTCAGCTGGCCAGCCTGGAGCCATCAGAGTGGTTCTGACCCACGGCGTGGCCGGTGTGGGAAAAACCTTCTCGGTGCTGAAGTTCACTCTGGACTGGGCCCAGGGCCTGGAGAACCAGGATGTCAGTGTGGTGGTTCTGCTCTCATTCAGGGAGCTGAACCTGCTCAGAGATGAGCAGCACAGCCTTTTGGGGCTGCTGGCTGTGTTCCATCCAGCATTAAAGGGGCTCCGAGCAGAGCAGCTGGCTGCCTGCAGACTGCTGCTCATCTTTGACGGCCTGGATGAAAGCAGGCTGTCCCTGGACTTCACCAGCAGCCCCGTCCTGACTGACCTCACCCAGAGGTCACCAGTCAGCCTGCTGCTCACAAACCTCATCAGGGGGCACCTGCTGCCCTCGGCCCGGCTCTGGATCACCTCCCGCCCCGCAGCAGCCAATCAGATCCCTCCTGCATGCGTAGACAGGCTGACAGAGGTACGAGGCTTCACTGATTCACAGATGGAGGAGTACTTCAGGAGGAGGTTCAGGGACCAGGAGCTGAGCAGCAGGATCAGCTCCCACATCAGGAGCTCCAGGAGCCTCCACACCATATGTGCCATCCCCGTCTTCTGCTGGATCTCTGCTGCAGTTCTGGAGGACATGTTGACCACACAGCAGAGAGGAGAGCTGCCCACCACCATGACTGAGCTGTTCTCACACTTCCTGCTGGTCCAGACCAAGAAGAAGAAGCTCAAGTACCAGGAGGGCCAGCAGACCAGTCCACAGGAGCTGATGGAGGCCGACAGGGAGCTCCTTCTGAAGCTGGGGAGGCTGGCCTTTGAACATCTGGAAAAAGGAAGCATCCTGTTCTACCAGGAAGACCTGGAGCAGTGTGGTCTGGATGTCACAGAGGCATCGGTGTACTCAGGAGTCTGTACAGAGATCTTCAAAAGAGAATGTGGGATCTTCCAGAAGTCAGTTTACTGCTTTGTTCATCTGAGCGTTCAGGAGTTCCTGGCTGCAGTCTACATGTTCCACTGCTACAGCGGGAAGACAGACGGGCTGGACCACTTCTTGGGGACAGAGTACGAGTACTTATCCCTTGAGTACTTCCTGAAGAGAGTCATGAAGAAGGCCCGTAAAAGTGAAAATGGCCACCTGGACCTCTTAGTTCGCTTCCTTCATGGCCTCTGTGTGGAGTCCAACCACAGACTCTTAGCAGACCTGCTGGGTCCAGCAGACCACAGTCCAGAAGCTGTCCAGAAGGTCATAGAGAACCTGAAGTATATGGGATCAACAATGTCTCCAGACAGAAGCATCAACGTCTTCCACTGTCTGATGGAGATGAAAGACCCCTCATTTTATCAGGAGATCCAGAACTTACTGAAGTCAAAGGGGAAATCAGAGAAGGAACTCTCTGTGATCCAGTGCTCAGCTCTGGCCTACATGCTGCAGATGTCAGAGGAGGTTCTGGATGAGTTGGACCCACACTGCTACAACACATCAGAGCAGGGGCGATGGAGGCTGATTCCAGCTGTGAGGAACTGCAGAAAGGCTCGGTGAGTAGATGCTGACTGACTCCATGAGTCAGAGTAGACAGCAGCACAGGCTGATTCTATAGATGAACACACTGAGGAGAAAGTCCACCTGGAGCTTTTCCACAGGCCATTCCCAGCTGGAGGCTTCCTGTTGGAGATGAGGCCTCTGGAAAAGGGAGGGAGGGGTTGTGGGAGAACACAGAGCACAGAGGACATGATGCAGACATGTGGAAGCTGTGAGCTGGTCAGCGCTGTCCCCTCACAGCAAGAAGGCTGCAGCTTGGAGTTCCAGCCGGACCTGAAGCAGGAATAGTGATGAACTGACTGAGACTGGTTCTGTTTCCTTTACTGTTGATACTTCCTCACAAATGGACTCCACTAACAAATCCTGTTCAGGGTGGGGTTTGAACCTTGGCTGGGGGCCTTTCTGTGTGGTGTTTACGTGGTATATCTCTGACTTTCCATGTTTTCTATCACAGACTTGCAGACTGTGGACTGTCAGAGACTGACTGTGAAGCTGTGGCCTCTGCTTTAAAGTCCAGCCCCTCCCATCTGAAAGAACTGGACCTGAGTAGAAACATGCTGAGGGATTCAGGAGGGAAACATCTTTCTGCTGGACTGGAAAGTCCAAACTGCAGACTGGAGACTCTGAGGTTAGTTCCCTCTGTCAGCTTTTCTGCTTTTTGGTTTAAATTGTGTATTTCCATGTTAAAATGATTAAAAAAGCTGCAGAGCTCTGCCACATGTTCCAACTGACATTTTTCTCTCTGTTCCATGGATTGAAAACAAGGTTTAACTTGTAGAAAGGAGCCTGTAAACACAGAGGCCTTCACTTGCTCTGTGAGCTCCTCTGAGACATCTTTGTTCAGTAGAGATGAGGCTGTGTGATCCGGGGGCTTTGGGGCTGTTGGGTGCAGATGTTTTCTCACTCTGGACGTGGAGC